TTCTCAGTACAAAACGACAGCTGATGTTGCTTGCCAAAGAGACATCCTTCATTATTTTCTTCTAGACATGGGAGATCCTTCATCATATTCTTTTGATATAATAGCTTTAAGGTAGGAATATTGATGTGGCCAAATCTTCGATGCCAAAGCCATGAAGTATTAATTTCTTCATTCATAGCAATGTTAGCACCTTGTTTAACGCTTATTGGAAAACTTTTGTTTCTTTTCTCCATCTTTGCTTGGCCAATCACTTACTTTTTACTGTCATATATCTTACATGTGTCCCCTTTGAAGTGGAGAGAATAACCTTTGTCCATCATTTGACCAATACTCAAGAGATTTTATTTGAAACTGAGAACCAGTAAGACATTAATAATAAGTTTCGTACCTTTCTTTGTCTCCACCATAATAATGCCTTTGACTTTTGATTCAACAAAAGTATTGTTCCTCATTCAAACTTTAACTTTAGTAGATTCTTCTATATCCTCAGAAATATTTACATCTTTGGTTATGTGATTGCTACAACTGTTATCCAAGTACCAATTTCCACTTGTTTCATTATTGGAATCTTTGATAGCATAGAAAAGATGTTGTTCTCAATAATACTCTTAAAAAAATTTGATTGATACTTGTTTTTGTTGCAATAATACTTTTTCAAATAACCAAATTTCCTGCAATATCGACATTGTGGCTTTCTACGATATCGACATTCTTCTTTAGCATGATTTGTCCTATTACAGATGCCGCATGTATATCACCGCACTAACTAGCAAGTGTACTAGTGTAGTTGTAACAAGTTATAAAATTCAGAATTCATTTGAGCCCCAAGTATCGTTCTTAGGGATTAGTTCTTTCTATTACAACCCCACAAATCAATAACTATTTAAGCTAAACGAAATTTGGGGTGTTTTGAACATTTGAAGACAAAAGCAATAAAGTGTAGTAAAATTAGAAAGTAACAACAAAATAGAGTGCAAAGTTTAGTAATGAGGTGATATGTAAATAGAGTTAGGAATAATTTTACCTCCTTATCAATTGCAAAACTAAAGTAGATTTGAACTCAATTTTTTAATTGATTGGTGATCAATTCACTAGATTAATCAAAGTTCAATTCCTTGACTCAATAATCCTAATATTCAATTAACTACCCTAATTCCTTAGGTGTAAATCAATCAAACATTGCATTAAGTATTAGAAATTAAGAGATCACAAGATCATGAATGCTCATCCCTAAGATATCAATAACCTTGACATTCAATTCATATCTAAGAAATTAACTCAACTTCCATTGATGAAAATCCTCTAGGTTCAATTCAATTGAATAGTTAATCCAAGAATTGCATTAAGGATAGAATTAAATGTTCAACACAATCAAAGTCTTAAAATTTAGATCCACAATCAATTTTTAATATCTAAATCGGATCCATCAATCCCTACTCAAAAAGATATAAGAACATGTTCATCAAAGAAAGAAAGGAAGAAATAGTAGAAGAGAAGGTAAGGAAGAACTCCATGAATCCAAGTCCCAAGCTTGATTCCCCTAGATTTGAGCCTTGAAATTCGCCCCCAATCATCTCTCTCTAACTCTCTAAGAGTGTGGAAAAGAAAAAAACAAGAAAAGATTCCAAAATTCTAAGTTTCTAGCTTTTTATAACATTCCCGCATTTCTGGCATTGTCACTTTTTTTGAGAAAAGGAGTAACACATAGGTCATTCCTACTAACAACATTTTGCACGGTCATTATTTGTAAGAAAAGGAGTAAAACGTAGGCCATTTCTTCATAACAGGCTTACGCGTGGCTACTATTTGTGAGAAAAGGAGGCATATGCAGGCCATTTTTGTTGACAACACTATGGAACACTCACTTTTTATGAAAATAGTGATCACGCAGAGGTATACTGCTTTATAAGGCTTGCTCGTGTTCATTATTTGCGCAGAAAGAAGCCATGCTCAAGCTTCATTCCTTAAGCCCTCTTTAGAACAATCACTTTTCATGGAAATAGTGATAATGCGTAGCTTGTCTCTTTTATTCAGGCTTTGGAATGACCACCTTTTGTCTAAATAGTGATCACGCTCAACATGTTTTTCTCAAATAGCCTCCAAGTAGTCACTTTTTGCGCCAATAGTAGTCACACCCAGCACTCAATTGAATTCTAAACATCTAAAGTATTCACTTTTTGTGTTAAAAGCAACAATGCTCAGCCCAATTGACCTTTTAAATCCTATAACTCATTTGTTTTTGCTTATAATCTCCTGCAAACCAAGTTCAACAACAAAATTACATCATAATTCTATTAAATCCAAACAATTTAAGTTACTAAAGACAAAAATTAACTTTATTGAATAACTACATATTTTTGTGCAGTTTTCAATTTTCAAATTAACTTTTTCTATAAAAAAAAAAATAACATAGAAAACTAATTAAAAACATATTAAAATCTGGATTTATTAATGTAGGATATTTATCTTGATTGTTTCTAGAGAAATTTCTAAAATTATCTTTGTTTCTAGAAGTTTCTCCATTGTTCTTTCTTCCTTTATCCCCTTTATTCTAATACCGTAATTTGAGTTTTAATTGAAAGGCATTTTCAATTGAGTCCTCACCATGTCTTTTTAACCTTTGCTCATAAGGTTCAAAGGGCCCTACCAACTTTATCACTGATAGAGTAGATAGATCCTTTGTTTGCTCAATAATTGTCACAATTGAATCATATTCACGGGGAACAATTATTATTATTTTTTCAACAACTCTCTTGTCAAGAATATTTTCCCGTAAGCTCTCATTTGGTTAACTATTTCTTTTATTTTAAAATAGTAATCCTTTACAATTTTAAACTTTTTCATTTATAATAATTCAAACTCTTGTTGTAGAGTTTGGAGTTTTACAATACGTACCTTTTCGCTTCCTTTAAACTCCTCTTGCAGTGTGCTCTATGCTTCTTTAGTTGTTGTAGCACCTATTATTTTTTTTAAAAAATGTATCAGTCACAACTTGTTGTAAAGCAAATAAAGCCTTCAAATCTTTTTGTTTATTTTCCTTTAGTTCTTTTCTTTGAGTTGTAGTAAAATATAAGATATTAGTTGAAATAGTGAATCCTTCTTTTACAATATCCCACAAATCTTGGAAGGTGAATATATGTCTTCGTTTTTGTGCTCCAAAAATCTTAATTTTCACCATTGAAGATGGGGACAAGGAGAGATAATGGTTGTGTAGTGCTAGGCATGGGTTAAATTTTTTTTTGAAAGTGGTTTATTTTAATTTTGGAATAGTATGATAATATTTTTACGCCCAGTAGATGACTGAATGTAGCTCTAATTCCATTGATGGTACTTAATGTAGGTAGTGAGTAAAATAGTTGAAATATGTTAGTTGGAATAGTTGAAATATGATAGTTGAAGAATTTTAATTAATACATTTAAGATATGGAGAATTGATAGCTTGCTTACTTCTTATTGACATTTACAATGAGATAGCATGCCTATTTATAAGTATCCTCTACCATTTTGTTTGGGTTGTTTAATATTATAATATTTAAATATTTTAGAACTATGATATCTAAAATTATCTTATAAGTAGAGGGTACAAATAATTTTTCCTAAATTGTTCCTAATATTGTTCTAAACTACTATTCTAAACATTTGTATCATTTTCTAACTAAGCACCTATTGCATGATACCCCAACATGACCATTAGTTCTCCCTAGCCTCTTCAAGAGTAACCTCTTTCGACCTCCTTGTAAGATATCTATTAAGAATATAGATAGTTGTTGTTACTGCCTCTTTCACATTTCTATTTACAATATTTACTATTCATTATTTATTTCTTCTTATATGATTGGAACATTGAGTGTCAAGGTACCATCACTCTTTTTCACGACTACTACTTTCTAATGCAGGGGTCACCATTGAAAAGAACATGATCAAAATCTAAGTCCTCTTTAGAAGCTAGCTGAACTTCATCGTCCCTTCCTTGTACACCTTTTCCACTTTTGCATTCACATGCAAAATCATCCTATCTTTGGCAGGCATAGTACCACTCATTCTTCTTGCCAAATCTTTTCTTTTAACCTTTATCTTGAGGTCCACTCCTGTCATTAGATTCGTCTAACATGTCATCACTATTGGAATCATCTGACTTTGGATCACTACCTTCTTGGTTAGATCCATAACTCCAATTTCTTCCTTTCTTTCACTTTCCTTTACTATTCTTATTCTTGTTATAATCACCATCATTCTTTCTACTAATTTTTGCCTACAAGGCCGATTCTGAGACCTTTCTAACATTTCTCTCATTGAGTCTTTACTCATGTGCCTCTAGTGAGCCATGCAATTCTTTCACCAAAATTTTCTTCGTCTCCTTGGATTTGTCAATAGCGACAGTTATGTGATAAAACCAGAAGTCAAAGTCCTCAACAGTGTGTGAATAATACATATAACGAAAAAAGACAAAGAAATTAATATTTTTAAGGAAAAATGATATATTTGAAATGTTTTAAAAGTTAAAAAATTAAAATAAAATTGAAAGACGAAAATATTTGTTTTGCTAAAAGTATATTATAGATTTAACCTATAAAATTTCTTAATAAATAATCTCATATTTTATCACTTTATAAATAAGTTCATTACAAATAATCTTAATTTTTTTGTTATTATAATCTTAATTACAGTAGATACTAGTTTAACATAAAGCTGCTAGCTTTACAATGAAAAACTAGTATCTACTTTTTTGACCGTTGCAATGTACGTATTTATAATGTGGAATTAATTATAAAATATGATTATAAGAATGAATACCGTACATTGCAATTTGCAACTAGTTTAATGTAAAGCTAAGGAGCGAAGCTGGCTTGCACTTTCTTATCGTGTAAGCGGTAATACAAAAGTGGTGGCAGCAATGATTTAACTGAAAAGAGCAGAGTGAGATTATTCCATCTTTGGATTTTTGCATTTTGCTTTGTCTTCTAATTGTTCAATTCGTTTTCTTTTATTGAATTAAATCAATGTCTTCTTCTTCATCGTCATCAAAGTCGAAACCCCAATGGATATACGACGTTTTCATCAATTTCAGGGGAGAAGACACTCGAAAGAGTTTCGTTTCACATCTCTATTCTGCGCTTGCAAATGCTGGAATCAACACTTTCCTGGATGATGAGAAGCTTCCTAAGGGAAATGAGCTTAAATTTGAACTATTCCGAGCAATAGAAGGGTCTCAGATATCCATTGTCGTTTTCTCCCAAAATTATATTCAATCTAGTTGGTGTCTTGATGAACTTGTCAAAATCGTGAATTGCCGTGCACTTAGAGGTCAAGTCATTTTGCCCGTATTTTACGATATCATCCCGTCGTTTTTACGTGATAGCACTTATATTTCTTTTAAGAGTTTTTACACTCAAGATATTGGAGACCATCGGGAAGAACTATGGAAGAAAGCGCTGAACCAAGTTGCAAATTTGGGTGGTTGGGATGTGAGAAATTGCATGTATGTTTTTATTCTCTTATTTCCAAAAACCACTCACACTTGCAAGTTATGACTTCTCTATTTTACTTGTACAGGGCATTCATTAGTTAGAGTTAAACACTGTCTAAGACTTTATGTCACTGCCTTTTTTATTCTTGATTTTAGGCTTACAATGTTTGATAATTTGGCCCTTGGTCTTTTCGTTTTATTTATCGTTGCAGAAATGATAACCGTGTTGTGAAGGAAATTGTTGATGCGGTTTTGAAAAGACTAGACAGAACATACTTGTCTATTACAGACTTTCCAGTTGGATTAGAATCTCGGGTTCAACATGTGATTGACTTTCTAAGAAAGAAAAAGAAAGGAGCTTGTGTATTTGGGATTTGGGGAATGGGAGGGATTGGCAAAACAACCATAGCCAAATCCATTTTCAACGAAATGAGGCATGAATTCAATGATAAAAGTTTCATTGAAAATATTAGAGAAGTTTGGGAAAAAGAGTGGGGCCAGATTGATTTACAAGCACAGCTTCTTTCAGATATCCTTAAAACAAGAAAGATGAAGGTGCATAGCATTGATTGGGGAAAAGCTATGATCAAGGAAACGCTTTGCACAAAAAAAGTACTTGTTGTACTTGATGATGTGAATAAGTTTGAACAATTAGATGCACTATGTGGAAATCGTAATGTGGTGGGTCCAGAAAGTGTAATAATCATTACAACCAGAGATGTACGTCTACTCAATGTCCTTGAAGTTGACTATGTATATGGAGTGGAGGAAATGAATGGAAGCGAGTCCCTTGAGCTTTTCAGTTGGCATGCTTTCAGGGAAGCGAATCCAATAAAAGGCTTCCTTGCTCTCTCAGAACAAGTAATTGCCTACTGTGGAGGACTACCACTAGCTCTTGAAGTTCTTGGATCTTACTTGTACAAAAGGAAAGAAGAAGAGTGGCAAAGTGTATTATCAAAACTAAAAAGGATACCCAATGATAGAATACAAGAGAAATTAAAAATAAGCTTTGATGGTTTAACGGATTATATGGAGAAGGACATATTTCTTGACATATGCTGCTTCTTTATCGGCAAGGACAGAGCCTATGTTACAGAGATACTAAATGGTTGTGGACTTCATGCTGATATTGGAATAACCGTCTTAGTAGAAAGGAGTCTCATAAAAGTTGTAAAGAACAACAAACTAGCAATTCATGATTTGGTACGAGACATGGGAAGAGAAATTATTCGTCAAAGTTCACCAGTAGAACCAGAGAAGCGCAGTCGATTATGGTTTCATGATGATGTCTATGATGTATTGACAGAACACACCGTAGGACTTTCTCTTCTTCCTATTTTAGAGCTTCTGATCATCCTCGATGTCTTGTCAAGACCACAAAAACACCTTTTGTTTTTATTTTCTGATTTATACTGTTTTTCCTTACTTTAATTTCGGCTAAAAAACCAAGAGATTCTAAATTTTCACTTCTAAAATTGTTTGTCTTTGAATGTGCATTAGATGTATGCTTGGGGAACAAATTTTGCGTTTTACTTATTAGCTTTCTACTGTGAAAATAACAAAGGTTTGATTTTATTTCTAATTTTAATGTACTTTTTTCCGTAGGGAACAAGAGCCATTGAGGGATTGGCTTTGAAGTTTCAAATAACTAGCAGAGGTTGCTTCACTACCAACACATTTGAGGACATGAAGAGGTTAAGACTTTTGCTACTTGATCGTGTCCAGCTTGTTGGAGATTATGGGCATCTTCCCAAACACATGAGATGGGTCTATTGGCATGGATTTTCACTAAAATACCTACCTGACAACTTTTATCAGGGAAATGTAGTTGCAATTGACATAAGACACAGTTATCTTAAACTAGTATGGAAGGAGCCCCAGGTATATATTACAAAAATATTTCTATGGTGACAATATCAGTTGCTTCCACCATCTACTTTGCTAATCTTTCTTTCTTAACAAAACAAAAATCTCTCTTGCAGTTGTTGGAGAGGCTAAAATTTCTTAATCTTAGTCATTCCATGAATTTATCAAAGACCCCTGATTTTTCAAAACTTCCGAATCTTGAGAAGCTCATCCTCAAAAATTGTCCAAGCTTGTATGAGGTACACCAATCCATTGGAGATCTAAGTAATCTTTCTCTCTTAAATTTGAAGGGTTGTACATGCCTTGGGAATCTCCCAATTATTATCTACAAGTTGAAGTCTTTAAAAACACTTATCCTTTCTGGTTGTTCAAAGATTGACAAGTTAGAAGAAGACATAGAGCAAATGGAATCCTTAACAACTCTAATTGCAGATAATACTAGTCTGAAACAAGTGCCCTTTTCTATAGTGAGATCCAAAAGGATCGGATACATATCCCTTTGTGGATATGAAGGATTAGCACGCAATGTCTTTCCTACCCTCATATGGTCGTGGATGTCGCCAACAACAAATTTTGTACCCAGTATTCAACCTTTTGGGAGCATGTCAACATCTGTAGTCTCTATGGATATTAAGGAAAATAATTTGGGTAAGCTATTATCAAAGCTTAGTGAATTTTCAAAACTTAGAAGTATTTGTGTGCAATGCGACTCAGATTTTCAACTAACTCAAGAATTAAGAAGAATTCTGGATGATTTATGCAACACAAATTTTGCTAAATTGGGTTCAACGATTGCATCACAAACTTCAGAAAATCCTATGGTATTTGATTTGATTGGAATGGGAAGCTACCACCAAGTCATCGATATGCTTAGCAAGAGCATATCAGAGGTTCTCTCTCTCTCTCTCTCTCTCTCTCTGCTTTGTGAGTGTGTGTCTTACATTTACTGTTCAATTCTAAAGAACATGAAATAGTATTTACTTGGCAAAAATATGTATATTCATTAATGGCAATTATATAATGAAAATGATTCTTAACGTGAACAAAGTAAAAATAATTTTCCAAGTTCTTAATATGAGCATTATATTAAGTTGAAATAACTAGTGAAATAAAAAGTGTTAACATCAGAATACATAAAAAAGTTGAAATTCAGCCAATTCAACACTAAGATCACACAATAAATGAGGTAAGAGCACCTCCCAGCTGTAGATTTTATTCACAACATAAGAGATGTAAAAACTTGAAATTAATGATGCAATATGTAAGAGCACCTACCAGCTGAGGAAAAGCAGGGCTAGTTAGCAAAGAACATCAGCTTAACCGGGATGATGATGATGATGTAACTATTTTATTAGTGGAGATCATAAAGAGCATACTAAAGTTGAAAAGAAGTACAAAAGTATGTATTAGTGCAAGAACCATCCATCATCTCATTACAGTCTGAAAGACTTTTATGACATCAGTTTTACAACTTTTTCTTTTGGTAAGAGTTTCACAACTTTTATTTGAATACAAATACAACAACAATTAAGCTTTATACCATTAGATGAGATCAGTTACACGAATCACACTACACCATTTGATGTCAATCAAAAATTAAATTTTTAGAAATAATATTATTAATCAAAATATCTATTTTGATAACCTTTTCTAAGATTATTTTAGATCTATATCTTCCCTTTTTTATCTAACTAAAAGTCATAACATCCACTCTTCTCACAAGTGTCTTGAAACGTCTTCTTTGCACATAATCAAACCATCTTAGACGATATTTAGTTATCTTTTTTCACTATAGGTGATACTTCAATATTTTCTCGTCTACTATCATTTATTTTTTGTCTTTTCTCATGTGATTAGTCATCTACCTTAACACTCTCATTTCTGACAATTCTACTTTTTTCTCATGTTTTTCTTTTAAGACCAAGCATTTACTACCATATAGGATAGCTTGTTGTATTGCAATGTGATAAAGTTTCCTTTCAGCTTGATAGGTACTTTATAATAACAAACAACTTATGGTGTCTTTCTCCACTTTAATCACCCAGCTTGTATTTTATGAATAACATCATTAATTTTTTCATCATTCAATATAATCAATCCCAAGTACATAAATCTAAAAATTTATAATATAATATCATCTTCAATTTTAACTTCCAAAGCATGATCCACATCTTGTTTTTTTGCTAAACTTATAATACATATATTCTGTCTTGCTTCTGCTTAAGCGAAAACTCTTAGATTCTAAAATCTCTCTATATAACTTAAGTTTAGCATTAACCTCTTCGTTTTGAATCTTTAACCAAAACTAAGTCATCCGCAAGGAACATGCACTTAGGGGTAATATTTAATATGTCACTTGTAAGTACATTTAAGACTAGAGTTAGATTTATCTCCTTATTTCTGTTGTTTTTGGGAGCATTTAAAAACTATTGACGAATTCATTTCAGTCTGTTTCATTGCATATTTTTTTTTATGTAGTACACTTATCTTCTGAAATAGACACTATATTCGCACAAAATGCCCATTTGAAAAGCATAATTACAAAAATAACTAAGTTCTCTTTTGTTTCATGATACAGGGCTTGAGAACTCAAAGTTTGAGTGATGTTTTCCTTCCATGTGATAATTATCCTTATTGGTTGGGGTATATAGGGGAAGGAAATTCAATACCTTTTCAAGTTCCACATGATAGTGATTGTCGCATGAAGGGAATTACTTTGTGTGTTGTTTACCCATCAACCCTTGAAATCATGGCAACTGAAAGTCTTACTAGTGTCTTCATCATTAATTACACAAAGTGTACCATTCAGATATACAAGCAAGCAACAACAATATCCTTTAATGATGAAGATTGGCAGGGCGTAATATCAAATCTAGGACCTGGTGACAATGTGGAGATTTTTGTAGCTTCTGGACATGGAAGTACTGTCAAGAAAACAGCTATCTATCTAATATATGGTCAGTCATTTACAATGAAAATGGAGCCATCAATCAATGTGGAAATTGAGCCATCACCTAAAGTGAGTGCGCAATCATCACCTAATGTAATAATGGAGCCACCCGTTACCGTCCAAATGGAGCCATCAAAGAAGCCAAAGAAAAATATCTCTACAATACTTAAAAAGAAAATGGGAGTATGTTTGTGCTTGAACTAGAACAAGGGTTTCAACAATTTTTCATTGGTAATACCATTGTAATCATATAGAATCTAAATGTTTACTATGTAATCTTGTTGAAGTATTTTTCTGAGAGGGACGGGGGACAATGTTTCCCCACACACACACATATAAAAGAGAATTCATGTTATTGTTTTTTTCAACTAATAAGGTTCGGAAAACCTTGTCAAGAATTCAATTCTCATTATTCTGGACCTCATGATTGATTGACGAAACAAGGTTACACAACTGCTAAAAAGTTTTTTGGTAACTTTGAGCACAAATTTGGAGTAACTTCTCTATCAATACCTATTAGTAAAATTTTTTTACCGCTAAATTACATTTTATTGTCAATTAAAGATCTTTAGGGTTATCAGATCACTAGGTAGTACCTTAAATTTAGATTGCCACCCTCTTGATACTTAGGAAATTGATGGATAAATTTATAACAAGACGATAGTAAAATGCACGTCCAGAGAAGATTGCTGGATGTTATTGCAATTTGATCTTTGTGCAGAAGAAAATATTTAATAAATTATTTCTGAGGGAATTTTTAATGTGAACAGTAATGTTTGCAGTTATTCTAGTAAGACCAGTATGTCTCATTAATTAGTATTTTTATAGTTGAGGAACAAGCACTGCCAATTGTAAAGCCTGCAAGTCTCATCAGGGGTATTATTCTGATTTTAGTGTAAGATATTCGAAAATGGAAAATGCAACAAAATGATATTCGTAATTTATTTTTAAAAGTCCATTTTATTGGTCAATTAGATCCATGGCTTATAATTTAGGCAAAAGGATATATTACATATTTTCCTAATTGTAGATTTATATATTTTATATTAGGAGTAAAATTATATAGTAAGGTTAAGGAAAACAAAAATCATATTGAAAAGGTGCAAATTTACACAGGAGAAAGTGTAATTTATCATATAGAAAGCTCAAGTTGTGAAGAAGGTTCCAAAACAGTGAACTTGACAAGAATCTACCTTGTTCTAAGGAACTTGACCAATAAAGAAAAATTACTCTTAACGACGCGTTTGCGCGTATTGACGGAATCACACTTTAAACTCCTTGCGTGTTTATTTCACACTTTCGGTCCAAAGTAAACGAATAACAACGAATTCAGTATTAGCATAACCTGTTAGTAACTTCACTCAAATTTATTTTACTCATCACACTCCATTATGTCTTCTTCATCTAACTCTCAGTGGATCCACGACGTGTTCCTCAATTTCCGAGGAGAAGACACGCGCAGGAACTTCGTTTCTCATCTCTACGCGGCGCTGTGTAACGCCGGAGTCAACACTTTCCTCGACGACGAGACGATCGAAAGAGGAACGCAGTTGGTTTCAGAAATATGGCGAGCAATAGAAGGTTCTAGAATATGCATTGTCGTTTTCTCCAAAACGTACGCGCAGTCTAGTTGGTGTCTTCAAGAAATGGTGAAGATCATGGACTGTCACCGAAGATTGGATCAGGTGGTTCTGCCCGTGTTTTATGACGTTGACCCCTCGCACGTGCGTCGTCACGGAGGTCCCTTTGGAGAAGCGTTGGAGGAACACGCGACACGATACCCGAGAGTGTCTCACTTCGTCGAGCTTTGCAGGAGAGCGTTTTCTGAAGCTGGGAATTTGGCTGGTTGGGATGTTAGGAAATGCAAGTGAGTTTAATCTCTCTTTCAATTCTTGTTTCTTTGAATTTCAATGTTAAGAGCTTAGCATTGTGCAGTAGTTGCTTAATTTGCTATCCATCTTGCAGTTAATTGAAATTTGAGTCAAATTGTCTAAGTAGAGTGAAGTATAGCATCGATTACTCTCTCTCAAAGAGAAAAGGGAAAGAATCAATTATTGACTCGTAAAATTGGATCATTAGTCAATTGGGTCTTGAGCTGTTTTATAAGATAATTTTCTATAAGGTTTGAGTGGTCCTTATTGTAAGGAACTTTATAGTTTATATGAAGTATTTCGTTTTTTATTTGCCTTTGATAAATGAAGTTGATGAGAATTTAAATTAAAATCAATCGGAGTAAATATTGAATTGGAGTTAAGTTGAATGATATATTGAATGAGGATAAAAGTGGCATGTTATGATATTATTTTTAAAAAAATTAACTAACTTTAACTACTTTTATTGATTATTGTAATTTAATTAAATACTCCTTATAGAAAGGATTAGACGGAGTATTGTCTTTCTTTTTTTCTTTGGTCACAATGGAGTATTATCTAAATCAGTCAATTTTAGTATTTCGTTTGACAATTATCGTAAATTTAGTGACATTAGATAACTTGGCTATTAATGTTTGGCACTAGAATGACTTTTGTTATTAAAATGAGGGATCGAATTGATTGATCTTAGTAGTAGGTACTGGAATGATTGACAAATGTCAATTTCAAAGACTTTTTTTTTTGTTGTTGGTTGTTGATTTATTTGGCACAAAATTAAAAAAATAGAGAATTAAAAATGTGTAAAATTTGGAGGAGAATGAATGAGAAAAAAAACTCAATTTTCAACAGCAATGATACATTTAAATGCGTAACTAAGATTTCAATAAATTTGGATAACAAACTAAATTTAACCTGAATGTAGTAACTATTTATTAACTAGCGTACTTATATAATCAACTAAAACTATCAAAAGCAGATACAAAAGCATATTGTTAACGCTTGTTTTTGTTTTATAAATTGCAAACTCTATTTTTTTACATTTTAAGAAATTTATTGACATCATTAATTGAGTCACTTGAGACATTATTAGAGAAACCAACCAACTTAATTTTTTGCACTCGTATTGAAATTGATACTTAAGTTATAAGTGCATTTGAAATATATAACCACTGTTTTTGCATTCTTGAGATGTCTTTCACTTACAAAAGGCGTTAAAAGAGAAAACTTACTATCAGCCCTTATGATATTAGGATGAATAGTTGTAGAAATATTCTCTTTGCATGAAAAGTTTCTTGTTATTACAATTGTCCTTTTCCTTTGATTGGGATTGAACCAACATTGCCTATTTTGACTTTGGTGATGTTAGTCGACATCAAATCTCAAAAAAGTTCCTTGTTGTTGAGTATGTGATTAGTGAAACCACTATCAATTAGCAACTTTTACTTGATTAGTTTGAGAAGGGAGTAGTAACAAACAAATGATCCTCTTCCGCTTAATCTGCAATCTTAGCCTCTTAATCTTAGTGTTGATTTTTATCTTGCATATAACATCTTCATGTCTAATTAGTTGCATTTATTGCATTGTGCATCATACCTCCTCCAACATTTAAAAGGAGGTTGACCATTTTTTCCACAAGCATATAGTGTTAATTAGGGAATCTGTTATTCCTATTTGTTACTATTCTTGTTTCCTCTTATGCGTTGTATTAATTAGGAATAGAATCAATCTATTATTTGTATATATTTAGAATTCCTAATTTAGGGTTAAGTATGTTTGTACTATATATAGAGACTAATAGAAACAAAGAAGACAGGAAGCTAAATATTTTTGACATGGTATCACGAGTCTCGTCAACAGAGACGTGAACCTTTCTGGTTTCTGGTTCGTGCCTGCTTCTTGGTCCTTGGGTCTTGCCTTGGGGTTTTGACATTCTCGTTCCTCTCCATCTTGGATTGCTGGTTCTTGTTCCCCTTTTCTTTTTGGGCACGGGCGCCTGACTTTACTCTCAGTTTCCATGGCTACGGAGAATTTTTGTGCCCGCTTTACCGGCAAAAACTATGCTGCTTGGGAATTTCAGTTTAAGATGTTCGTGAAAGGGAAAGGACTGTGGGGTCATATTGATGGGTCCTCTACTGCTCCGGAGGCTACGGTTGCATTTGGAGCATGGGAAACAAAGGATGCCCAGATTATCACTTGGATTTTAGGTTCCATTGAACCTCAAATGGTTAACAATCTGCGTTCCTTTTCTACTGCTAAAGAGATGTGGGATTATCTCAAGCGCGTTTACAATCAGGATAATGCTGCTAAACGTTTTCAGCTAGAGCTTGACATAGCCACTTATCACCAGGGAAATCTCTCTATTCAGGACTATTATTCTGGTTTCCTTAGTCTATGGGCTGACCACTCGACTATTTTACACGCTGATGTTTCCAAAGACTCGCTTGCTGCTGTTCAAAAGGTCTATGACACTAGTAAGCGGGATCGATTTCTCATGAAGCTCCGACCCGAATTTGAAGCTGTGCGTGTTGCTCTGCTGAATCGGTCTCCGGCCCCTTCTTTGGATGTGTGTCTTGGTGAACTACTTCGGGAGGAACGACGCCTCCTAACTCAAGGAGCTATGACACGTGACAACTCTGTTTCAGACACTTTTTCTGTTGCCTACTCTGCTCAAAGTAAGGGGAAGGGTCGTGACATGAGCCAAGTTCAATGCTACTCCTGCAAGCAATTTGGCCATATTGCTCGTAATTGCACTAAGAAATTTTGCAATTATTGTAAGCAACGTGGTCACATCCTCTCAGAATGTCCTACTAGACCAGCACCAAAACCAGTGCAGGGCTTTCATACCACTACTACTACAGCAGCCTTGACCTTTACTCCTGCACCTTCCGCTAATGGTGCCTTGACTCCAGAGAGTGTGCAACAAATGGTTCTATCCGCTCTGTCTGCCTTGGAAATTCAAGGTAAAACCACTGTTGCCTCTCAACCTTGGTTTGTTGATTCTGGGGCCTCCAACCACATGACTGGTTCCTCTGAATTTTTGCACAATGTTAAAACTTACAATGGCACCCAAAACATTCAAATTGCTGATGGTAATACTCTTCCTATTACTACTGTTGGAGACGTTAATTCCTCCTTTCGGGATGTGTTTGTATCTCTCGGACTTGTTTCGAATTTACTTTCTGTTGGCCAATTGGTGGATAACAACTATAATGTTCATTTCTCTCGGGTTGGTTGTCTTGTGCAGGATCAGGTATCGGGGAAAGTGATCGCGAGGGGACCTAAAGTTGGCAGATTGTTTCCACTTCAGTTTTCACTACCTGATCTTTTGTCTTTTGCATGTAATGGCGTCCCACATAAATATGACGATTGGCATAGAAAGTTAGGACACCCAAACTCTACTGTTTTGTCTCATTTATTGAAAAGTGGTTTATTGAGTAATAAAATGGTCCTTCCTCATTCATCTTTTGATTGTTCTGTGTGCAAAATTGCTAAAAGCAAAACCCTTCCCTTTCCCACTACAGCTCATCATACTGATAAATGTTTTGATCTCATTCATAGTGATGTTTGGGTTATGTCACCAGTCTTATCTCATGACAAGTATAAATACTTTGTAACATTTATTGATGATTACAGCCGATTTACATGGATATACTTTCTCCGCTCGAAATCTGAGGTCTTTTGCATGTTCAAGAAGTTTTTGGCATATATTGAAACTCAGTTTCACACATGCATCAAGACCTTGTGTACTGACTCTGGCGGGGAATATATTTCTCACAACTTTCAGGAGTTCTTACAGCAAAAGGGTATTATTTCCCAACGTTCTTGTCCATATACACCTCAACAAAATGGTGTTGCAGAGCGAAAGAATCTGCACTTACTTGATATCACTCGCACATTACTTCTTCAAGCATCTGTTCCACCTCAATTCTGGGTTGAAGCTCTATCTACGGCTGTATACTTGATCAATCGACTTCCGTCACAAGTTCTGGACCTTGATTCTCCTTTCTTTCGTCTCTACAATATACAACCGAGTTATCATGACCTTCACACGTTTGGTTGTGTATGTTTTGTCCACTTGCCACCTCTAGAGCGTCATAAACTCGGTGCTTAATCTGTGCAATGCGCCTTTATGGGTTATGCTCCCACTCAAAAAGGGTTTTTGTGTTATGATGCCATTATCCAGCGCCTACGCATCTCTAGGAATGTGATTTTCTTTGACCATCAGTATTTTTTCTCCAGTCGTCCCTCTACTTCTCCTGATTTTGTCTCCTTCACTCAATTTCCAGAAGTTCCTCCTCCTGTAGAATGCTTCAAACCAGGCCATGTGTATGTCAGACGGAAGCCTGTTTGTCCCCCTCTCGACACTGAACCATCGCCTGACCCCCTGCCAATAGCACCTCGCCGATCTAGTCGCATTCACCGTCCCCCGGATTGGTATGGGTTTGAACCTACTTCTTTTACTGCCACGTTATCTGGGATTTCTATTCCTACATGTTATTCACAGGCTATTAAAGACTCACGTTGGGTTAAAGCAATGCAAGATGAGTTGCAGGCGCTTTAGGAGAATTATACTTGGGGTATTGTTCCTTGTCCCCCTGATGTTAAACCGATTGGTTGCAAATGGGTGTACTCTGTGAAGTTGAATTCGGATGGCTCTCTGAACCGTTTCAAGGCCCGGTTAGTTGCTTTGGGTAACAAACAAGAATATGGAGTCGACTATGATGAGACATTTGCCCCTGTTGCTAAAATGACTACTGTTAGAACTGTCCTGTCTATTGCAGCTTCCAAAGGATGGTCCCTTCATCAAATGGATGTGAAGAATGCCTTTCTTCATGGTGACTTGGCAGAGAATATCTATATGACACCTCCTCTGGGCTTGTTCTCCTCTTCTACAGGTGTCTGCAAGCTCAACCGTTCTTTATATGGTTTAAAGAAAGCTCCGCGGGCATGGTTTGAAAAATTTCGGTCCACTCTTCTTGGATTCTCTTTTAAACAAAGTCAACATGACTCCTCTTTATTCATTCATCACATAACAGCTGGCATTGTTCTTCTCCTTATTTATGTTGACGACATGGTCATTACAGGATCTGATCAGGCATCCATACAACAACTTAAACAGCAGCTCCAGGCTTCCTTTCATATGAAGGATCTTGGTTGTCTTCATTACTTCTTGGGTCTTGAGGTTTCTTCCACCTCCAAGGGTATTTTTCTTAATCAGCATAAATATGCTGAAGACTTAATTTCTCTAGCTGGTCTTCAGTCTGCTGCCCCTGTGGACACCCCTCTCGAAGTTAATGTCAAATATCATCGTGTTGAAGGTGATCTTTTGCCTGATCCTTTGCTATATCGGCAATTGGTGGGTAGTCTTAGAATGATGCCACCCCTCTTTATGCTGATAACACTAGTGCCATTCAAATTGCTGCAAATCCAATTTTTCATAAGCGTACTAAACATATTGAGGTGGATTGCCACTCCATTCGTGAAGCTCTTGATGATCATGTTATTTCTCTTCCTCATGTCACTTCGCAACTTCAGCTTGCATATATATTTACCAAAGCCGTTCCTCGTCCCTGTCACCAGTTTCTCATTAGCAAATTGATGCTTCTTGATCAACGGCATCAATTTGAGGGGGGATGTTAATTAGGGAATCTGTTATTCCTATTTGTTACTATTCTTGTTTCCTCTTATGCGTTGTATTAATTAGGAATAGAATCAATCTATTATTTGTATATATTTAGAATTCCTAATTTAGGGGTAAGTATGTTTGTACTATATATAGAGACTAATAGAAACAAAGAAGACAGGAAGCCAAATATTTTTGACATATAGAAGATACAATTTTTCTTCTTGTTGTATCTTGCACCTTTATGATGTGTGACACTAAAGGCTCCCTCAACAACTTCATATTGTCTCTGCACGCATTAGACAAATTTTGGACAAGTGCTTAATATTCTCTAAGCTGATAATTGTGACCTCAAATCTTTTCAGCACTGCAACATGAATTTTTTCTACATTTCTAGAATCAGAAAACCAATGCTTAATAATCTCACCTTATTAGCTATGTCAAGCAACTTGTTTGATTATTTTTAATTGTTTCAAACTCCTTCTTTGGAGTTCAAATTCCCTCATCAAATTTAGCACTTGCATACTTCGAATCTTTTTATCTCCTACATGTTCTTCTTTTAGATAGTATCAAATTGTTTTTATTATTTTTAAAGTCATACAAATAGTTGTTAAAACACTAGCAAAAGACATGATTTTTATCTGGGTCATGGTAGGATTGTATGGCCGTGGAAGAACTTGTAATCCTCTTCAACAGATTCCCATAGATCCAAAGCCTCTATGTTAGCGTCCATTTGATAACCCATAGATCATAGTTTTCTCTATCAAAGATAAGAGGAGCAACTTGTGAAAAATTTGATTCAACATTCATTTTCACATGTATGTAAGAAGACATATCTTGGTACCACTTTGTTGATCTTTATGCCAAAAAATTGCAAAATAGAGAAGCAATGATGAGTAAAATTACGAGAAAATGAATGGGAAAAACTCACCTTTATTCGATAGCATTGGTACATTCATAATAATTCAAATAAAATAGAAACTATGTAACTAATATTTTAACAAACTGGGATAATAAATTACTCCTAAAACGTAGGAATTATTTATTGACTAGGATACTTATCTAGTAAATTAAAACAACTAAAAGCATTTACAAAAGCATAATATGTAAGTATAATATGTATAGTTATTCAAGTAAAGTTCATGTTTGGCGCACGATCATTTGTGAAAATAATCCATTTGTTTTCAAAAACTCTTTCAAAGTTGGTAAAAAACAATTATTTATTTAGATTAAGATAGACCAAGCACACACTACATTTCTTCTTCACTTTTATGATCTTACCCTCATTTTGTTATTTTTGAAATAATTATTGTTACAGGAATGAGAACAAGGTAGTGAATCAAATTGTTAATGCTGTCTTGGAAAAACTAGACATTTCAAACTTGCCTATAACAGACTATCCAGTTGGATTGGAATCACGTGTGCAAGATGTGATTCAATTTTTAGAAACAAGATCAACAAGTGTTTGTGTTGTAGGCATCTGGGGAATGGGAGGTATTGGTAAAACAACTATTGCCAAAGCCATCTACAATAAAATTCATCGCAATTTCACTGACAAAAGTTTCCTTAAAAATATTAGAGAAGTCTGGGAGAAAGATAGGGGACAAACTGATTTACAAGAACAACTTCTCTCAGATGTCCTTAAAATGAGAAAGATAAAGGTGCAAGGCATTGGAAGGGGGAAAGCTATGATTAGGGAAATGCTTAGCAGCAAAAGGGCACTTCTTGTTCTTGATGATGTGAATAAGTCAGAGCAATTAAGTTCACTTTGCGGAAATCGTAACTGGATCAGTCCAGGAAGTGTAATAATTGTTACAACAAGAGATGTACGTCTACTCAGTGTCCTTAAAGTTGACTATTTCCATGAAATGAAGGAAATGGATGAAAATGAGTCCCTTGAGCTTTTCAGTTGGCATGCTTTTAGGGAAGCAAGTCCAATAGAAGACTTCATTAATCTCTCAAGAAGTGTTATTGCTTATTGTGGAGGATTACCCCTGGCTCTTGAAGTCATTGGATCTTATTTGTATGAAAGGACGAAGAAAGAGTGGAAAAGTGTGTTGGAAAAATTAAAGAAAATTCCCGATGATCAAATACAAGAGAAGCTAAAAATAAGCTTTGATGGTTTACAGAATCATACAGAGAAGGAGATATTTCTTGACATTTGTTGTTTCTTCATTGGCAAGGACAGAGTCTATGTTACACAAATACTAAATGGTTGTGGGCTTCATGCTGAAATTGGAATCACAATCTTGATAGAGCGAAGCCTAATAAAAGTGGAAAAGAATAACAAACTTGGAATGCATGCTTTGCTTCGAGACATGGGAAGAGAAATTATTCGTGAAAGTTCACCTGAGAAGCCTGAGAAGCGTAGCCGACTGTGGGATCATGAGGATATAGTTGATGTATTGCGAGAAAATACTGTAAGAACCTTCTCTGTACATAGTTTTGAACTTTCAAGCATTCCCTATGTTCTTTTAATAAATATAAACCTTTGTTTTCTGTATATAGTCTGTTCTACTTGTTTGTCTTGTCAAATGTGCTTACTGTGGAGCTTTATGTATTGCTTTACAGTGAGTCAATAACAAATATTTGTCTCTCCCTTTTTTCCTAATTTTTCTCTGCTCTTTGTTTTACAGGGAACAGAGGATATTAAGGGATTGGCTTTGAAGTTGAAAGGAAATAGTAGAGTTTGCTTTGAAACCCATGCTTTTAAGGAAATGAAGAGATTGAGATTGTTACAACTTGATCACGTTCAACTCACGGGAGATTATGGATATATTTCTAGACAGCTCAGATGGATCAATTGGCAAGGTTTTACTTCAAAGTACATACCCAAAAGCTTTTATCAGCAAAATCTTGTTGTTTTTGAGTTAAAGCGAAATACTCTCAAAATAGTTTGGAAAGAGCCCCAGGTATGTTAGATGACATTTTCTTTAAATCTCAAATGATTTAGTGACAATATGAATTGTTGCAACCATTTCATTGTCTGTTTTCAACTAATTTTTCTTATGAAAAATTCTCTTCTTGCAGTTGCTAGTCATGCTAAAAATCCTCAATCTCAGTCATTCCAGGTACATTACAAACACTCCTGACTTTTCAAAGCTACCAAATCTCGAAAGGCTTATTATCAAGGATTGTCCAAGTTTACATAAGGTAGATGAGTCCATTGGAGATCTCCGCAGTTTAGTTCTGATAAATTTGAAGGACTGTACAAGCCTTAATAATCTTCCAAGAGTGATCTATAAGTTGAAATCTTTGAAAACTCTCATCCTTTCTGGTTGTTCAAAAATTGACAAGTTGGAAGAAGATATAGGACAGATGGAATCCTTGACAACACTAATAGCAGAAAATACTGCTGTTAAAAAAGTTCCTTTTTCAATAGTGAGATCCAAAAGCATTGGATACATATGTTTATGTGGATTTGAAGGACTAGCACGTGATGTATTTCCATATCTCATTTGGTCTTGGATGTCTCCAAACATGGACGTTGTATCCCGTATTGACCGATTTGGTTGCATGTCATCATCTCTAGTTTCTATTGATGTGCAAAATTATAATTTAGGTGAAATATCACCAGTACTAAGTGATCTTTCAAAACTTAGAACTGTTAGGGTGCAATGCCGCTCAGAGTCTCAACTAACTCAAGAATTAAGAAGAATTATGGATGGCATATATGATGTAAGTTTCACTGAACTGGAGACCACGTCAGATGTGTCAACATCAGATACCTCAGAGTCAGAGCATTCCTTGAGATCTGTTTTGATTGGAATGGGAAGTTACCTCCAAGTCCTCAATACTCTTAGTGAGAGTATATCACAGGTTCCTTCTTCTTTCCTTACCTTTATTATGCATCTTTACAATTAATTCAGAAGAGCAAACTGCAAAGCTTGCCCTATTTTATATCCCTTGCTTTCTGAGTATAAAGATAAGAAATACTTTGTAATACCTTGCCCAGTGTGGGTGCAGTTATTGTATATATGTACAGAAATTTTGATTGATGTACCCTGTATTAGAAGGTAGTTTAAAAGACACTAACACCTAAGCACATTAAACATGTGCTTAGTATAGTAATCAGAATTCCTTTCAAGTTGGATTACAGATGTTAATTATGCCTAACTTGTTACATAGATATTTAGGCTTACTCCTGTTAAGTTGGATCTTCAATCTATCACTTCTTCTTCTTTGATCTGACTTCTTAATGCTTGTTGGTTTGTAGTTTTCTGCTTCAATCTACTTCTATTTTGGTTCTGTTTTATGCTCTGTTTTTCTCTACGAAAATATTATCTAGTAGCAGTTTTGTGCATTGCTTGAGGTATTTTGTGTCATCTACTGATAGATTTATGTTAAAAATTGATTTTAGTACAAACGTTTTTTTCATGAAACATTATGAATACATACAGAATCATGTGATTAGTCCACAAAATTTCTCTCTCTTCTAATAAATATAACCACCCCTCCATGATTGGTTACTTTTTCTACAATCTCTTGATGAATAAGGTGAGGATCGCCTTAGCCTTTATTACTCCTATTTGACCATACTTATAGTCAATGTGGGATCTCAACAATGTCTATTCGTCCATTCTAGTTGATCTTTGGGGTTCATTGCCACTTTTCTAATCAAACCTTGCTCTTGGATATTACATTCTCAAGGGAGTTTGGTTCCATCTGGCTTTTCTGGCCTCTAGATCAAGAGCAGTATCACTTCATTGGTAAGTCTGTCCTTGACATATGGGTGTGTCTGCACCATTCCAGATTTCAAGTCACTCCTTGCCTTGATCTCTCTTAATTCCCCACCTAACTAGAACATGAACTCTCCTTTGTAGTTGTCTACATAAACAATACCTACATCATAATTCAACTGTTTCCTGAGTTCTTTCCTGTGTAATACCCGTCCTTCCCTCTGTTGCCGCTCAATTCTAGCAGCCATTGCCCTGTTGTGCAGTAACCAGTGTTGATTTCCTCTGTGTAAAGATACCGTCGTTCTTTATTTGGACTGAGCTGTCCTGCCATGTTTTTGTGCCACCTTTTAATTTTTGGCAGATATGATAATAGCGATGGTTGGTGGCCATTTTCTGTTTAATTCACCCCTCTCTGCCTTCATTTCATTACTCCAAGGAACTGTTTCACTTGTATCCACTGTGGCTTATCCTTTGTATGGTCTGCTGCTGTTTGGAAGTGCATTCATTTTTGCTGCCATTTTTTGTTGGGACTGAGATAAAGGTCAATTAGACTAGACCAGGTCATTTAGGTTGGTCTGATTCTTTCGAAGTTGGGTGCATCAATAGTGGAGGGTTAGTTATATAGCAGGAGTGAGACATGAGGGCTATGATTTTTCTTTCTGTTTTTCCATTTGACTTCTACCTTGGGCAGGGATAGTTCTTAAAATTTAGGGAAAAGTCCATTTTACTCCCCTATACGTTTGGTCATGTGCAATTTAAATTCTCACTTTTAAAAGTATGCAACTGGATACCCTCCACTTCTGAAAGTGTGCAAGAAAATCCTTTCGTTACTCAGTTATTCCATTTCTCTATTTCTTAGACAAAAATACCCCCAAAATGTTTGCACACTTTCAAAAGCAAGAGTCTAAATAACACATGACCAAATATACATGGAAGTAAAGTAGACATTTTCCTAAAATTTATATGAAAATATATGTTAAGATATATAGTCCAATATTTCCAAACATATTGATCATTAGGCTTGCGATTAGTTTGTGTTAATTAAGATTACTCTCTACAGATTGTAAATCTATCTGTAAATACCAAAACGTGTGTATCCCAGCTCACAATTTCTCTCAAGCACTATCTCTTTCAATAGTTATGGACCCATTGATCATTAAAAAAATAAAAAGAACGAGAATATAAGTTAAAATACATGAATGACATAACAGTTCTGAAACTACCATTTACTATCCTAATGTTCTGTGTGATAGCTGTTCACAGATATGAACAAAAACTAATAAATGAATATGTTTCAATAAATTCCGATGATTTTTATAACATAAGTTTTTTAATGATGAATAACAATTAAATAAATGACTAAGATTCTACTGATGGAACAGGGATTGGCCAGTGGATCTAGTGATTTTCCTCTCCCACATGACAATTATCCATATTGGTTAACCCATAAAGGTGAAGGACATTCAGTAATTTTCAATGTGCCTCAAGATAGTGATTGTCACCTCAAGGGAATGGCTTTATGTGTTGTTTATTCTTCAACTCCTGAAAATATGGAAATTGAATATCTTAGTGTCTTGATTGCTAATCATACAAAGTGCACTATCCAGATATACAAGCGAGAGACACCAATTTCCTTTAATGATGAAGAGTGGCTGGACATATTGTCGAATCTAGAACCTGGTGACTTAGTGGAGATTTTGGTAGTTTTTGAGCTTGGATTGACCATAAAGAAGACTGCAGTCTATCTATTATATGGTGATTCAACTAGCGTGAAAATGGAGCCTACAGCAAAGCCAAAGAAAAGTCTCCTTAAAACATTTGTAAAGAAAGTGACAAAGTTGGCCATCTTTGATTAGGCATGCCATAGTCATAATATATCATTACCTTGTTTTCTGTGTGTTGTAAGTTGCTATATTTTTCTTGGAAGGATGGAGAGACAGTCCTAATTTAAATATGTATTAAAGGTGAAATTCGTGTAATTATTTTTTGTTCCTCTAATAAGGATCTGAAAATCTTGCAATTGTGTGGATTTCAGTTCTCATTGTTCTAAATCTTGTTAAGAGATAGGCCCTAAATGATCCAACATGGAGCTGGTGTTAAAACTGTAATCCTTATATAGTATCTGGTATTGCAAAATATGTACTTCCAGATAACTGACAATTTGAATCTAGCCCCTAACATTATGAACCCACAATATAAAAAGTATTTTATAAGTTTTATATATTTCAACATAGGTGAAAAATATAGTTCGTTTTTAGCTTTAGTGGAATATTAAGCCCAAATTATTGAAAGTTTTTTTAATATATATTGCTCCAAGCACCTCTATTGCCTTCTTGATCAGAGGATGTAAAATGATTTTACAACCTAAAATGGGTAAAGAACTTATTAGTATTACTCCTCGTCAAAGGAGAAAAAAGAAATAAGGAAGAAAAGTGAAGATTCTATGTCAGGTGTTCAGTTTCGACTTTTGACATTTTTCCATCCATAAAAACAGAGTCTCCGGTGTTCTTGGTTAACATGATAAGAGTGGAAAAACTAAGATATGAGAGTTAAAACGTTATACGACATGAGTTTGGGAAGACTCTTATGTTTATTTTATATATATTTGATGTGTATTAAAATAATAAATACTGTTAAGACGAGAGAAAATGAAAAAGAATGTGTCATGTAATGAATTCTGTATATTTCAACTACGTTATGGAATGAGTATGTATAATAACTAAAGTAATTATAATCATAGATACATAATCAGGAATAAATATATAATTATCTACTTATTATAATTATACGGATATTAATTTCTTTAAATAACATATTTACATTTTTTTAATAAATTAGATAATTTTTCTAATAAAATTTACGCATAAGATATAATAAATCATAGGACATGAGTTTTGGAAGACTCTTTATGTTTATTTTATATATTTGATGTGTACTAAAATAATTGAGTGAAAACGAGAAAACATATAATGTAATGAATTATGTGTATTTACATAATCATTATTATAATTATACGGATATTAATTTCTTTAAATAACATATTTACATTTTTTTAATAAATTAGATAATTTTTTTAATAAAATTTACGCATAAGATATAATAAGTCATAGGATAGACTGTTATATTTTTGTTGGTTAAACAAACATTAAAAATAAGATAAGAAAGGAAAAAAGTATTCTATCATGTTCATCTAACTTGCCGTGAGAGTGGTAAATTGAGAGAGGGGTTGATAGAGTTCTCGGCAGTTTCCATGTTTAATACTAGTTTTGATCCATTTTATAAGAAACAAATAATCCAACAAGATCAATAAAAAAAATATTTATATATCATAAATTTATACTGTATATCAGAAATTTTCATATTATTAAATGATTAAATTGATAACTTATATTAAAGGAATAAATATATTCATTGATATAGATAATGAGTAAGTTTCCAATCATTACAAAACTCACAATAAATAAAGATATACATAGAATTTAACAATTAATATATTTGAAGATGAGCTTTTTGTTTTTTATAATTAGTAAAAAAAACAAAAAAGATACTTTCTTGTAAACAAAGACTAGAGGTGGTAATAGCTTTAGCAATTTTCGAGTAATGGGAGAAGGAAAACTAGGAGAATCTCTTGGATTGTAGTTGTAGAGGGTGGGGAGTAAAAATTTTAAGCTAAATTTAGTTTTTAATCCTTCAAAAATTTGTAAAATTTATATTTGACCGCAAATTTTTATTTTTTTTAAAAGAATCTCCCATATTGTTTTTTGGTTATAAAATGGTAGTATCTGTTTAGTTTCTTATTTGTCTTTCTAAATATGAAGTTTTTTTTTTAAGTCTCTTATTTTAAAGGAACTAAAATGTGAAATTCATGATATTTATGAGGAATAAATAAAAAGGTAATAATATTTAAAGGGACGACCAAATGAAAAATTTTATGTTATTTAGAGGACCAAATAGAAAACAAAAATTATAAAGGCATAGTATATTGGTTTGAAAAAATAAAAATGAGGAGTTGCAAATGTTTTAGAGATTAAATATTTAATTAAGCCTAAACTTTAATAAAAAAAACTCTTTGAGAAATGGGGATTGAGTTAGAGAACGGAGGGTATAGAGCCTCGATTTTCCTCACATCATTGCTAATAGCTATTTTGGCATAGTGTTCAATCTGAAGTGTTATTTACCCACGTCGTTGTTATTTCTGCATCATCTCAGGTTCCTTTGACTTTTCATCCCCATTTCAACTGAGTCTTCACATATTTTCATCACCATATAAAAGACAACTGTTAATTTAAAAATAATATAAAATAAAAGTATTTGTTATAATATTCTTCAAATTGAGGGAATACTATATACTTTATCTAAACTAGGAGATGAAATTTCTTTAATATTTTAAAAGTTAAAAAGTATTTATATTTTTTTAAAATAAATTACTCATCACATTATGCAAGACAGCAGTGAATACTTTTCATTTTAAGGAATACAATAAAATTTACCTATTTAAAATAAATTATTACTCGAGTTTTTCGTCAATTCTAATTTGTGATGATTAAAGATTTATTGAAATTTGCGTCAATCTCATTTAAATCAATTGTGTTCTTTAATTTTATTTTATTTTTTAATGGTTTCTAGTTTTTTATTGCGATTCTTCCAATTAGACAATTGATAATTTAAAACCCTTAATTAAAAATAAAGTTGAGAAAACTATTCTCTCCACGCTATCTTTAGATCCCTAGTTTGCTAGCCATGCGAGCACAGTTCCTCTCAACTTTCTCGTAACATCTGTAGATATGGGTCTTCGTTTTGATTAGGAAAAAGAAACTAAGGTACAATAATGTTTTGATTCTCTCGCACACGTTAAGAAAAAAAAAACTTAGTTCTTTTAAATGTAAAAATAAATACTAAATATTGGTGTAATAAAGGTACAATACACGTCTTCAGGTCGAAGATGAAGATTTGAATGTAAGAAATTGACATCAAGTTTCTAAGATGGTTAATTTAATGACACATTTTATAATTAAATAATTAAAGTGATAATAAGCTTTCTGAAATCCATAATTTGCTTAAATCTTTAAAGGATAAAAATAATATGCCTAAAAAATAAGATATCACTTATAAGTATCATATTTTAAATATAAATGTGTTTATAGTATCAAATAAATTAAATCTATTTGATTTTAATTAAATTTCAAATCAATTGTAAAATTATCATGATTGACAAGTCATTTAACATAATACACAAATCTGCTGACAACTTCAAGAAAAAGTTGTCAAACTATTTCAAGTTGAGTAAGAAAATTATTTTCAAAATTATAAAGAATAAGAATTATTGTTTTTCTTTTATATCCTAAACATACTCAATTAACATTTCAAATTAAAAATAACAAGATACATATATATAAACTTCACAAGTTCAAATAACAATTATTACAAACACACAGCATAATAAAAAAAAAAAGGTATTTACCGATGTGTATTAAACCAAGTGGTAAGGATCTTGATAGCTCTTATATATGGTCTTGGACTTGAGTATTCTGCATAAAATAATGGTAAGAAGATGGTAATTCTTTAATGAGTATATTGGACTTAATTCAGATTATTCTGATTTTAAAGTGACTTTTAAATACATTTGAATTGATTTATTTCTTTTAAACATTTTTATTACACGTTTCTACAAATGTTCCAAATATGAATGTTTCTTTAATAAATAAAATTTTGTTAAATATAACTACTAAATGTAAACATAATCCATGCAACGTAAGCTGAGTAGTAAATCAATATAACGAAGTTGAAATTGCCCACGGTTTCTATCCTCGACCAACCCAACCTTTGAATTGGGCAACCTTCTTTGACATTTAAAATGATGCTTCACTTAATCATAAATTTTTGGACTATGATAAGTCTCCACTTAATTGTTTAGTACAAGAGGGTAGAGAACGGATAAAGATTAACAAAAAGAAGAGAAAAAGTATAAAAATTACAATAAATGATGCAATGAAAATGAAAGAACGAAATAAAAAATAGATAGAAGTATATAAAAGAGAGGTATTAGGTATATAAAAATTAAAATTCTACTTTTTTTATAAAAAAGGAGAGACTTGGGATTGTCGTGGAACCCGAGAGTGTGGTCTACATACACGTTTGCGTGTGCGAAGCGTTCGAAGACACGTTAGCAATGTCAATGGACACAGATTTAGGCCGCACATTATATACTTTTCTTTTTTTTGGACATATTTTTAATTATTAGTCAAATTTTATTAAATTTTTTTTAAAAAATTTAAAATTAAAATTAAAAAATGATATTTTTTTATACTTTTTAATACATTTTCTTAATAATTAAAAATATTAAAGAGTGCATTATTAATATATTTTTAAAAAAAATGTTTTAAATAATAAAGAAAAAACAAATAAAAAAATAATAAATTACTAATTTTTTTAATTATATAAAATTAATAATAATAATTATCATTATTTCACGTATAATAGAATCTTCTCTTGATTTACAACATAAAACTTACTTTTTTTAATAAATCGTACGTGTGAAAGTAAAAATAAGGGTGCCAAGCTTATTTGACCACATGGGGCATAACTTTATACAATTTATTTTCTTTTAAATGGAATTAGTTGGCTAAATTTCCTGTTATTCAACTAATCCCTTTCTTCTTTCACGTAATTTGTAAACTGAAAACGATCAGATGCAAGAAAAACTGAGAAGGGCTACGATAGTTTATGTAAAAGAATATATTTCTTAATATATTATTTTTTTTATTAAAAAGGGCATGTCTTAAGTATTATGTTAGAGAGATACTAGCCCAGTGTGTGAAGTTTATTATGAAAGTTAAAAGGAACAACAATACTAAAA